TGTATATATACATGTATACACACACACACACACACACACACACACACACACACACACACACACACATATATATATATATATATATATATATATATATATATATATATATATATATATATATATCCCATTCGAGCCTAAGGGTAAAATCTCACTCTCTTCATATTTCTGGGACACATGTTTGTTTTCATTTTTTTTCTTTTCTTTCGTTCACCATGAAGAATGTTCATAGAAAACAGTGAAGTATTGCAAAGCCCCCAAATATACATATTTTTTTTTTTTAAATCGGGGAATATTATGTGCCAAATCTGTGACGTTTCCATTACGTCAGGGTCGAATGGGATATATATATATATATATATATATATATATATATATATATATATATATATATATATATATACACACACACACACACACACACACACACACACACACACACACACACACACACACACACACACACACGTTGGTTCTAATTTCAAAGATGTTTACTCGTCACCAAACCATTTGTTTACACATTTTTATATTTCTAAAGGCATGCCAATATTGCAAAATTTAGTGTTACGACAAACAGAGTAAATTATGATAATAATTTATAAATGGTTTATTTGTGTAAATGTTAACAACTCAATTGGGGGAAAGAAATAAGTTCCTTATTTTAATATTTCTCATAAAACAAGTCCTTGCCTTCCTTCCGTACAGAGGTATGTCAAATGTTGGTATTTAAAGTCGTGTTTTACTCTGATATTATAGGTTGTAATGCTTGATAAGTGTATTAACGTAATTGTCAAATTCCTTTGTAGTGATTTGTTACAATTAAGACAAGTCCTTACCTTCCTCCTATGCAGAGAGACAGATGGTTAAGGAAATGCAGGAAGAACAACACCCATAATTGTTGCTAGTGAACATTCATTCGTTATTTATTGTTATTTTTATGACCCGTGGATACAGCAATGGAATTAGTCATAGGTGACAGTGCCGGTGGTATCAATGAATAGATAGAGAATGAAATTAGTCATTAGAGTGAAATGTAAGAGAGGGAAATTGTAAAGATTAAAGGAAGGGGAATGATTGGCTTATGTCCTGGGAATCCTGGAAAGAATACTGATAGGGTCTCAATTCCGTCTTTTTTTTTTTTTTTTTTAATATTAATTCGTAATTATTAGGAAAAGGGAGGGGATAGTTAACCTTAAAAAAATAGTAATGTTTGTTGAGAATATTGTTTAGATTATTATATTTATTGCAAAGATTTACATAATGATATGCCACCCGTTTATTATTATCTGTTTAGGTAAATTTGGATAAAGGCGTCACCAAAGAATCGATGGAAACTAACCTTACAGCCTTAAAGATTGTTAGTTCATGATCACTTTTTATTCAATAAACTTGTCTCGCAAATGAGTAATAACGAAGTTATTTGATTATCAAAATAAATAAAAATAATATTTAAAGGATGGGGAAACAAGGCACATACGTTTACAGTGGAAATCTCGATCTCTGCTCTAATCGCGGTACCGATTAAGTCACTATGTTGTCTAAAGCAGGGGGCCGTGCCCCCTGCAATCCCCATGGGGGAGCTGCCGCCCCCTTACCCCCGCCCTGGAAAACAAAGAATCCTCCACGTATTCACGGTAGGAATGAGCGTTGGACAGAGTCGGCATCGGGCGCTTCCACATGCCAACTCTGTCCAAGCATATATATATATATATATATATATATATATATATATATATATATATATATATATATATATATTATATATATATATATATATATATATACTATATATATTATATATATATATATATATATATATATATATATATATATATATATATATATATATATACATATATATATATATATATATATATATATATATATATACTAAATTTATAAATTGCTTATTTTCAACGCATCCTGACGCAGGATCCGACCTTCTCACCTACCGGCAGGAGTACACGTGGCGGGCGCGGGCGTGGACCCAGCTCTCCTCTGCACTCTGCCAAGCTGTGCGGATGTGTATGTTGGGCAATGATGGATGCAATGATGATGTAATGATGATTGATGGCAATGATGATTATGATAGGATGATGGATGCAATGGTAATGGTGAAATGTGATAATGGCGAATGGTGATTATGTGATCAATGATAATGATTATGATGGCGATGATGATTATGTTGATAGCAATGATAATGATTATGATGGCGATGATGATTATGTTGATGGCAATGATGATATATGATGCAATGATGATTAGGTGATAGCAATGATGCTAATGATGCAATGTAATTATAGTGGTAATGGTGATAATGGTAATTGATAGCATGATGATATGATTGATAATTATGTGATAGCAATGATAAAATGACAGAATGGTGATTGTGTTGATAGCAATGATGATAATGATGGTAATGATAATGATGGCAATGATGATTATGTTGATAACAATGATGATGATGAATATGATGATAATGATGGTAATGATGTGATGCAATGATGATAATGATGGAAATGATAATTATGTTGATAGATGATAACAATGATGATGAATATGATAATGATGAAATGATTATGTTGATAGCAATGATGATAGATGGTGATATAATTATGTTGATAACAATGATGATAAGGATGGCAATGCTGATTATGTTGATAGCAATGATGATAATGATGGCAATGATAATTATATTGATAGTAATGATAATAATGATGACAATGATAATTATGTTGATAGCAATAATGATAAGGATGGCAATGATGATAATTATGCTGATAGTAGTGATTATAATGAATGTGATAATAATGGTAATGATGATAATGATGGGAAAGACAATTGTAATGATAATGAAAAAAATGTTGAAAATTATTATAATGATGAAATAATAACGTCGGCAATGGCAATGTTTCTGATGATAATAATTGTAGTGATGATGATGATAATGATGGCAATGCTGATTATGTTGATAGCAATGATGGCAATGATTATGATGGCATTAATTATGTTGACAGCAGTGATGATAATGATAGCAATGATAATTATCTTGATAGCAATGATGATAATGATGGCAATGGTAATTATAGTGGTAATGATGATAATGATGGCAATGCTGATTATGTTGATAGCAATGATGATAATGGTGAAAATGATGATCATGATGGGGATGATGATTATGTTGATAGTAGTGATTATAATGATGAATGTGATAATAATGGTAATGATGATACTGATGGGAAAGACAATTTTAATGATAATGAAAAAAAATGTTTAAATTTTTTATAAGGATGAAATAATAATGTCGGCAATGGCAATGTTTCTGATGACAATGTTAATAATCATGACGATATCAATAATGTTGACTATGGTAATGATAATGATACTAATAATGATTGCAATGATCATTGCCTGATGATGAAAGTGATAACGAGTATGATGATGATTACAATAAAGATGAAAAGAATGATGATAATGATGCCAATGACAAAAATACGGATGACAAAAAAATAAAGATGAGTGATAATAATGATGACAATAAGGATGACAATCACACTTATATTCTAGATAGACAGGCACACACTAGGGAAAAACTAAATATATTTCCTGTCAAGCTTTCTTAAACTGATTTGCATAGATATGATTTGCATGAACTTTTTTCATCATAGACCATTTTTTTTTTTGCCAATTCAAGATGACCGATATTCCTAGGCTAGGTAGTCATAGCACAAAAATAGATATGCTGATTTTTTTTATCTTATATTTTTGCCTGAAAGCACTATCCAAAATGAACGGAGTACATATAGGAATGGGCCCAGTCGAGGAAGTAGTTAAAGAGATACAGATGCTTTTATAACGTCGGTTCAACAACTAAGTAAGTATTCCCAATGCTTACATATGGAATGCAAAAAGTGAAATCAAGTGGCAGCTTGAGTCCTGATGAAGGCAGAGTAGTTGAGCGTAGAAAGAGAAGTGATCTGCAGACCAACACCTGCAATCAGTTTCTATCCCAAAATATGGACATTCCTGACATTTAAACCAAAGGCTGGTAGAAAGGTGATGTTATACGTCCTGTATAGTTTACATGCGAGCAGCTACCACCATGTCTTTAGCGAAGCAGGAGAACGACTCAAGGGCTAGAAGGTTAGGAAGGTGAAGTTGAGGATGAGAATGACAGCAGATATTTAGGGAAAAGGCCACGCAAACGGAAAACAAAAGCGGTACGCTGGCCATTTATAAAGAAGTTAACTGCAAGCGAAACAATGCAGAGTATGATTGATTGTTGTTTGACATACTCTTGCGATGAAGTCAAGACGAAGGCGGTGAGAGCAGCTCTAGTGACCAGTGTTTCTGTGACGACAGCGATGCCTTAAATCCTTTGATGGATAAAGGCGTTTTTGATTCAACAAGTGATAATGTATACTTATCCCACTGATAACAATGACAATACTGATAACAATAATAATAAAAATTACAATAACAACGATAATGATAACAATGATAATTACGATAATGATAACGTTAGCAATGATAATGATAATTATTATAATGATAATGATAATTATTATAATGATGATAATGATTGTAATGATAATGATAATAATTATTGTAATGATAGTGATAATAACAATAATGACAATAGCAAATACCATTACTATAATAAATGATAATGATAAAAAAGCTTTGTTATCATTATCATCATAATGATTTCTACTCCCATCTGTAGCCGTCCGCATTTCTATTCTAACTTTTACCACGAAAGTAAGAACTCACCAAAAATACCATTATTGAATTTTATCCAAACCTTAGTTAACCACATTTAATGATCACCATAAACCCCGTTTCTTACCTGTATCTACACCTTTATTACCGAGAAAGAAGCACTTTATTCACTTTAATTACGTCTTCAGCATCAGGATGATTAAAGGCCATCATGAACACTTGTATTAACCCTTTCTCATCGGGACAATCCCAGTTCATCCCAGCCTCTTCTATCCCGCCAGAGAGTACGGGGTTATAAGCTTTCCGGAGGGCAGCTTAACCTCAAAGGGAGTGGAAGCCCTGGCCAAGAGGTTTTACGAGGAGAAGATCAAGGTCAGAGAAGTGTTGATGACCTGTGATCTGGAGGGAGATGTAGTTGCCTCATTTTCTATCCTCGTGGGATGTCATGTCGTACAGTAAGTATTTTTTTTTATTTTTTTCTTTGTATTAAGCATAATGATTCGAACGTTTACCTTATGAAGTACGTTGTGTCTGTTGATCATAGATCTTGTCTAAATACTAATGATCTAAATAATACCAATAAAGATGAAAATTATAATCACGATTTCAAAATTATGAAATTAAACACAGTCTGTTAATTGAGTGATTGCCAATCGTGGCTTCTTTTTGATAATGAAAAAAATTATGCTGATACACTCTGTAGCTATTACGGTAATGGTAAGACTGGTAATGGCAAGGCTGGTAATGATAATGATGATGCCGGCAATTATGAAATATGTTGTTGATAATAATAGTGATAGCACGGAAAACATAAGTAATAATGATAATAGTGGTAATATTAATAATGATGATGTTTATGGTAATAATAATAATAATGGTAATAATAATCACTGGGTCACTGATGCAATAAAAATATTCACGCGAAGAATGACATTAAAGTCACCTTTCTCAAATTCACTGGTGACGTCCGTGTTTTCCTATCTCGCAGTGCTAATGAATCGTTTAAAAAATTCCTGGATCCGGATAACCATAAACAATCAATGGCATCTAAGTTGGGCTATAATGTACCTCTGGTAAAAAGTAAAATTATAAAAATCTGTTCATAACTTTTTGAGTTATCGTGCGCAAGATCCGGATCACCACCATAATTTAATAGCATCTAAGTTTGGTTAAGACACACCTCTAGTAAAAAAAATCATAAAAATCAGTTCGTAACTTTTTTTGAGTTATCCTGCTGACCAACTAACAAACAAACTAACCAATTATTAAAATTACCTCCTAGGCGGAGGTAATAATAATAATAATGATAATAATAATAATAATAATAATAATAATAATAATAATAATAATAATAATAATATAATAAAATAATAATTACAATAAAATAACAATAATAATAAAATAATGATAATAATTATGATAATGCTAATGGTAATACTAATAATAATGATAGAGATAATAATAATAGTGATTATAATAGTGATTATGATAATCATAATAACAGCAACAATAACAACAGTAATGCTAATAATGATACCACTAATGCTAATAACGATGGTAATAAAATAACAATAAGGAAAATGGTAATAATGATGATAATAAAGAAGATAATAATAGAGAGTATTGATAAAGATGATGATAATAGCAACAATAATGAATATGATAAGGAGATTAAAATATTAGAAGAGTGTTAATGATAATCATTATAACAGTAATGATGATAATTACGATAATGATAATGATGATATTGATAGTAATAGCGATAATGAAAATGATAATGTTATTGAGAATGAAATTGTTAGTAATAACCGTAATGATAATGATACTGATAATGATCATAATGATATTGATAAAAATGATAATAATAGCAAAGATGATAATGATAATAACAATTATAATAATTATAATAATAATGATAATAATGATAATAATAATAATAATAATAATAATAATAATAATAATAATAATAATGATAATAATGATAATAATAGTAATAATGAAATAATAGTAAGAACAATAATATAATGATAATAATAACAGCAACAACAACAATAACTATAATAATGAAAATAATTATAATAATGCTTCTAATAATAGTCATGATGCTAATGATGATAATGAAAGTAAAAGTAATAGTATTAATGATGATAATAATGATTATAAAAATGATAATGACAATATTTATAACAACGATAAAGATAACATGAACAAAAACAACAATACTTAAAAAAATAATGATGACAGTGACAACAGACGCAACAAATTATAACAAATATAATGTTAAGGATAATAATGCTCTTATTTGATTATTGTGGAATTTGTGACTCTTGATAACCAGAGAATGGACAACGACACTTAAAATTATACAATTATATTAATTATGATAATGATATTTATCATCCTTTTGATAACTTTGATTTTAGGAATTTATCATATTATTTTCGGCAGCATGAATATTTTATGTTAACGATA